AAATGATTGTCAGAGAAAATGCCACTTTTGTGTGGTGATTGGGGTGTTCTAATGCTGCAGGGAGAGGGTTTGAGGTTAGAATAGTAGAATTATGGAATAGTTTGGGATGGAAAGGGCCTTTAAAGGTTAGATAGTACAACCCTCCCTGCAATGAGCATTGTAAACTCTGTGGAGTTATTGATTGTTAGGCAATATCAGGCATCTTCATCACTATTGGGGGTATTAATAGCTGTTAGGAGGATGATGTTTGTGCTAACAATGTGTGCAGTGAGTGGATGTTGAGGGCTCAGTGCCGAGGGCAGTGCTGAGGGGAGGGAGTGTGGGAGCACCTCAGGGCTGAAAAATCACTTTAAAATGCCAAAAACAAAGGACTGTCTGAAAAACACCACTTTTGTGTGGTGAATGGGGTGGGATGATGCTACCAGGAGAGAGTTTCTGGGGTAAAACTGTAGAATTATGGAATATTTCGGAGCGGAAAGAGCCTTTAAAGGTGGAATAGTCCAACACTCTCCTGCAATGAGCATTGCAAGCACTGTTGGATTAATTTTAGGATTGTTAGAAATATTAGACATCGTCTGTACTGCTGGAATCATTAATATATTTGAATTATGTTTGTGATAGGTGGTGTCTGTGCCAAATGGCTGATGATGGAGTCTGTGCCAAGGGGGTCACTGCTGTGAGGGAGAGGAGAAATCAGCTCATACTGCCAAAAAGTGAGTGTCAGAGAAAATGCCACTGCCAACCTGATTGATCCTGTGATTCTACGATTCTCTGTGGTGATTGGGGTGTTCTAATTCTACACAGAGTGGGTTGGAGGTGCAAAATAGCACCAGTATGGAATAGTTTGGGGTGGAAAAGGCTTTCAAAGGTGCAAACCTCCCCTGCAGTGAGCGCCGTGAACACTGTTGGAATTATTATTATTAGGAGTGTTGGAATCTGTTAGACATCTTCAGTATTATTAGAATTATTAATAGATTAGAATTGTGTGATCAATGATGCTTGTGATAAGCTTTGTTTGGGTGGTGAAAGGTGCCCTGAGGGAGAGTGAGGGGACACCTCAGGACTGAAAAATCAGCTTCAATGCCAAAACCAAACAGCTGACAGAGAAAAACTCCACATCTGTGTGGCCACTGGGGTGTTCCACTGCTATGAGGAGAGGGTTGGAGGCATAAAATAGAATGATAGAACATTTTGGGGCAGAAAATGCCTGAGGCATAGAAATTTGGAATAGACTGGAGTGGAAAGGGCCTTTGAACATTAGATAGTCCCACACCCTCCTGCAAGGAGCTCTGTGAACACTGCTGGAACTATTGTTAGGGTTGCCAGAATCCATTAGACACCTTCAGTACTACTGGAGTTATTAATACATTGAGGTCCAAGCTCAGAACGTGCTTGGGTGGCTTTGTGTGGAAAGTCACAGCATTTCTGTGTCACTGAGGGAGTCAGAGGCTGTTCTGGGCCAGTTTAACAGCAGTGCTGAGCCACAGCCTTCCCTTGCCTAAACCATAATGGAAATCCCTGCCAAATCTGTGGGGTTTGACAGCCAAATCTCTCCTAGCTTGGGTCCCCCAGCATGAAACCAGGTTTTCTGGACACAATTCTTACAGCTAGAAAAGTCTAGGGGAAAATACATCAATCATAGTAAAGATGTGGTGTGATACACAGGATTGAGGTGTCACCTACAGCTTAATCATAAGGGGAAAGGAGGCTGTGGCTCCACATTTCAGACTACTAAACCAGCTGAACAGCATTGAAATCAACTCATTTAAGGCTTTAAAAAAAAGCTTTACAAAAGGCTTCTAACATTTCTTCATAGCCCACGGTGACCTGTGCCCTCACCCCACAGACACCTTGTTCTCGAGCCAGGGGAAACCTCCCTGGGCTTAGCAGCTCACCTGGCAGCTGGTGCCAGTTCTTGGGTAGACAGGTCAGTGATTTAAGAGCTCACAAGTTATCTCACATCTGTCCTTAAATTCCTACCCTTCTTTTGGTTAAGAAAGCCCAAATAGTGCAACAGAATAAAAGCAAGAACAGCCTTGTAGCCCATTACATAGCTCTGAGGAGGAGTTGTGTCTTCTTGCTTAGAAGAGCTGGAATGTAGTAGGGAAAAGCAA